ACACTGGATTCGCCTCGAAAATCTGGTCAGAACGCACCCCAGGAGAGGTCTGGGGAGTAACAGTATGGGTACATTTTGGTTTCCCCAGGTGGGAGTCTTGGGACTCTCGTGGGGGCCTTAGGGTCGTCGCGGGTCCATCTTGCAGGTCTCGTGCGCCATCTTGGATTATCGGAAACCCGCGAAGGCGGGGACACGCGATTCGTTCAAAATTTGCGGACGATCAGTGACTTTGGTTTCTCAGGAGCCGTTTGGGGGTCTCGTTGGAGAGTTCTTGGACCGTCGAGAGCCTTGTTGAGGTCATCTTGGAGCGTCTTGAGGCCATCTTGGGCCGTGTTGGAGAAAGTTTGCCTGAATGTGTGGGGTCGTCCTGGAGGTCATCTTGGAATCATTTTGGACCCTCTTGGGGCCTTCTTCGGACCGTCTTGGGGTCGTATTGGACGCCATATTTGAGCCATCCTGGAGGGAACGCCGATGGGAGATCCATTTTCTGGATCGCCCGTGGGATGCGCCAAGACCACATTGGAAACGTTCTGAAAGGGCCCGAAGACATTCGAACGTCTGGCTTTCCACGGGCGGCGGTCTCGCGGCCTTCGGCCCTTCGGGCCACCATGCCGCGGTCGTGGAGCAGAGGCCTCCTGTACAGCGGAGACTCCTGCCAAGAGACACCCTGCTTGCCTCCAGGGTGCCCCCTGGATTTCTTGTGCCTCGATGGTTTCGCCACGGAATGCCTGACGTTTTTCCACACCGCAGATCAGGGGACGTTCTGGGGTCTCAGGATTGGGTCTCTTGTGGAAGGCTTCTTGTGGTTGCCTTCTTATTCATTGTTTTGCCGATCGGCGCGGGCCCTCGCACCACCCCTCCCCCCCTCCCCCCCATGGAGTAGATCTTGGCTGCTTTGGGCGCCTGTTTCGAGCAGGTGGAGCCTCCCCGACCGGACGCACTGCTGCCAACAGTCGCATTAATGAAGCAAAGGTCCGGAGCCAGACACCCCCCGCTCCCCCCCCCCTTCCCTAGGGGGCCACATGCGAACCCTACCCCTACCCCCCACGATTTCTGGGGGGGAGAGGGTGGGGTTCAGTCCGCTTGGGAGCTCCCGAGCGAAGTGACCCCCCCCCCCGAAAGCGTGGGGGGTCGGGGTAGGGCTCGCATGCGGCCCCCTATTCCGGCCCGATGTCGAAACGCCGAGCAAGAAGACCTTCGCGCGGTCGAGCTCCTACCAGAGGCCTCTCTCAGCGGCCCGGGGCGTTGCGTCCCTCCAGAGCTTCTCTTGAAGTGGCCTGCGGCGGGCTGCTCGCGGGCCTCTGGGGGGGGGGACCCGTCCTCGCCGCTACCCCCCGCCGGACCCCGGGCACCCGCGCGCCACCAGGCCTACCTTTTGAGTCGGGCAGGCCCCTCTACAGTCGGGGTTGGACAGACCTCCTACGCTGACACGTTGATTAAGGAATTGGCCGTTTTCGGTTCGCGAGGGGGCGTCGCGGCCGTCATTTTTGCGGGTCCATTTCCGTCGGTTTCGGTCCCAGGCGCTTTTCACTAAGGGGAGGTTTACTAAAGCGAGGTTGTCCACCGCCGATACAGGAGGGACGTCCAGGAATAGTGCAGAAGCAGTCCTGGGACGATCCGTCGTGCCCTCTTGCCCTGTCTTCTGTCGCACACTTGCTGGGCCATGTCTCATCTGCCTTCCAAAAGCCGCCTGTGTCGGGCTGGGCGAAAGGGGGGGATTGGGAAAGGGGGGGTTACGAAATTTGCTGCACGCAGCTGGTTTCGGCCTCACCGAGGGGCCCATTCCTCGATACATAGCCGCCTCCGGCGCCGGGAGGCGCCGGGAAAACTGGCGCCAGCGGTAAACCGTCAACCTGGTCACCGCCGGGAACCTCGTAGAGCTCCTTGCAGGCACGAAAGTGCTCAGAATCGAAGCAGACAGCTTCTCGCGGCCTTTCTCGAAAAACATCAACTTTCCATTTTTCGATGTCACTCCGATGTCGGTTCCCGCTCATTTTCGGATAGTAAAACTCTCTCCAGAGAGCTGAGCTGCTTTCAGAATACAGTTTAGATACAAATGCTACGCGTAAAAATCTGCTTTCTCAAAATAAATGGTCAAATATCTTTCAAATATTCGCAAAACCACCCAAAAGTTACCACTTTGTCTCTTCTGGTCGGGTCGACCAACTAGCTCCACCCCGCGCCGGAATTCCTCTTAGCTCATCGATAACGAAGAGCTCTACGACGTATCAGCTACGTGAGCTTATTCTCCCCCCCCCCTTTGCTATCCCCCCCTTTCGCCCGACCCGACTGGGAGGACAGGCCCGATCTGAGCCTACCTGCCCCCCCCCCCTCCAGGCGCCGCGCTTGCCCGACGGCGCGCGCAGCTCCCGGCGGGGGGGAGGCCAAGAGGGCGAGGTCGCGTTAGCGGGTGCAAGGTCTTTCCCCAGCGCCTTGGCATCGCTCGGACGTGTGCATCTAGGAGCATCCTTGGTCATTTGGCGAAAAAGCCACGCACGAAACCGAACAAAAACACAGGGAATGGACGTCCGAGCGATGGCCAGGTGCGGGGTGGGGTCGGACGGGGCCAATACGAGGAACGATCCGTCCCCAGAGCGTTCCAGAACTCTCAGAGCGTTCCGGAACGCTCTGAGAGGGCCGCGGCGCCCGAGACGTCCTCCAGAGCCGCCAGGTCTCACGGATTCGCGACGCTATCCTCCCCCGATGTTGTCCCTGTCCTGGCTTGGTCTTTCAGTGGGGACCCATGCCAAGAAACACCCTGCTTACCTCCAGGGTGCCTTCGCTTTCTTGGGTTTCGATGGTTTTGCTATGGAAAGCACGGCCAAAAATCAGTGGACGTCCTGGGGTCTCAGGGTTGGGTTTCTTGTGGAAGGTCTCTTGCGGAAGGGCCCCTACTGTGTGAGGCACAGGCCTGGGGGTGCTAATGATTCGCTCGACCCGCTGGCTCCTCGCTGGACTCTCCGAGCACATCGCCGTGACGTGCCGCGTGGCTGGGGGGGGCGCCGCCGCCCGTCGCTCGGCCGTGCTCACCTCGCCCGGCTCTGTCCGAGCGCTGCTCATACAGCGGGGCCCCATGCCAAGATCAGGCGATCGCAGACATGGATCAGGGGGGCGTGGATTAGCGACGGGTCCCGTTTCCGTGGGGAATCGCGGATATCCGCCGCCGAAGGAGGCGGCACCGGCCGCAGTTTGGAGAGGGCACCTCCCCCGATCCATGGACTTGGCGACCGCGCGCCAAATCCATGGATCGCTAATCCATGTTTGCGCGCCCCCGATCTGTCCGAGCGCGGCTCATACAGTGGGGACCCATGCCAAGAAACACCCTGCCTGCCTCCAGGGTGCCTTCGGTTTCTTGGGCTTCGATGGTTTTGCTATGGAAGGCGCGACACCCCCAGGCCCACAATCAAGTGACGTCCTGGTGTCTCAGGGTTGGGTTTCTTGTGGAAGGCTTCTTGTGGACTGGCCTCCACTGTACATCGTGACATGGTTGCGCGGTGCATCGCGCGCGCACGCGCCTCGGGCGTGGGCTGTGGCGGCTCACGGCAGCTGCCCGTGCGGCACCTCGTGCGAGCTGCTGGCGAGGCGGCTGCTCAACGGACTTCGACTGCCCGTGCCTCGCGCGCGCGCGCGCCCCCGGCGCGTGCCTCCTGTGTGCCAAGGCTCGACCTAAACGGTGCTTCTGCGAGTTCCGTGGCCGTTTTCGTTCCGACCTCGCTCTGTGCAGCAGAGGCGGACCGAAGCCAGCACAGGGGGGAGCACGAATTAACACAAGACGAAAGCGAAAACAACGACACCGTTGGGGTCGAGCCATGCTGTGCGCTCCCGGCGACCAGGTCAAGTGGGTGCCCCGCCTCCTCCTCCTCCTCCTCTCCTTTCTCCTCCTCCTCCTCCTCCTCCTCCTCCTCCTCCTCCTCCTTCCTCCTCCTCCCTCCTCCTCCTCCTCCGCCTCCTCTCCTCCTCTCTTTCTCCTCTCCGCCTCCTCCTCTCCTCATCCTTCTCCTCCTCCTTTAGGACATGCGTCCCCAGGGTCCTCCTCCTCCTCCTCCTCCTCCTCCTCCTCCTCCCTTCTCCTCCTCCTTCCTCTCCTCCTTTACCTCCTCCTCCTCTCTCCTCCTCTGAGGCGCGGAGGTGGCCGCCCTTGCACGCCCCCTGCGCCCCCCGCAGCACGGCGCTGCCCTCGGCCTGCGCGCCTGGCCTGCTCGGCGCTGCCTCGGCCAGCGCGCCGTCGTACTCGGCGGCTCTCCTCCGCGCTCGCCCTCTCCTCGCCCTCCCCGCCGCCCCCTCCCCTCGCCGTCGTCCTTTCTCGTCCTCCTCGCGCCGCCCCCGCGCCAGGGCGCGTCGGCCGGCCTGCTGCTCTCTAGCCGCGGCCGCTGCCAGTCCGACAGGCCTGCTGCGCTGGTCTCCTCCCGCTCCTAGCTGCCCCCCGCCCCGCCCTCCCTCTGCAGGCTCTGCCCCTCCCTCCCTCTCCGGCCCCCTTGTCCTGCCTCGGCTCCCCCCCTGCCCCGCCCTCCTCTTCGTCGCCGCCGTTGTCGTCGCCCACCTCTTCGTCGTCGTCGTCGTTCTCGTCGCCATCGAAGTCGTCGCCATCCTTTTTCGTCATCCCCGTCCTCGTCGTCCTCGTCGTCGTCCTCCTCCCTCCTCCTCCTCCTCCTCCTCCTCCTCCTCCTCCTCCTCCTCCTCCTCCTCCTCCTCCTCCTCATGAGTGCTTCTGTCGTGCTCCCCAGGGTAACGATGGCTCGCTGCCCGGGCCCCCACCCCTGGGGTAAAGCTGACGATCGTACTGGGGGGGCGGGCCTGGACCCCTCCCCGTACATGCTGTGGTGCGCACAGGCGACCGGTGCGCCGGCGGCGCGGACGCGCCCTGGCGGGTGCACGCCATGGCCGCCGCTACGCACCGCTACCCTCCCGCCCGACTCCCCCCTCCGCCGGGGGAACGACCGTCACCCGCGAAAGGAAAAAAAACAGCACTCTCGGCCCCGCGTGCGCTTCGCGTCGCCGAGGTACCGCAGCATCGCGCGCCTCTTCTTGCTGGAGTTGCCCGACAAGATGCACACGGCGCTCGTGATCGGGCTCGACCAGCCGCTGCGCCAGGCGCAGACCTCCTTCCCCGCCTCTCTCCCTCTATCCTCCTCCTCCCGCACCTCCTCCCGGTCGTCCCTCTCTCACCCTTCCTTTCCTCCTCCATTTGCTCTTCCTCCTCCTCCTCCTCCTCCTCCGCCTGCTCCCTCTCCTCATCAAGCACCTGCTCTTGCCGCGTGGAGGTCGCTCAGCAGGCGGCTACATCATTTTCGGAGCGTGCGCATGAAGCTGGAATCGTGCGTGGAGTCACTCACTGGGATCGTGCTCAGCAGCCCTGAGTCCGAGGCGACCTTCTTGTGCATGAGCAAGCCGGTGGTTGTTTTTGTTGGCCCAAATGAATGGAGTGTTGTCACTGGATTCGGGAACGCCTGCCGTCGGATGCCACATGTTTCTTTGCCGACCCACTGGCCAGCTTCTGCTGTGAGGATTTCGACGTCGCCGCCCAGGAGCCCATCGACAAGGCGGAGGTGGCTATCACTGTTGCCCTTGACAAGTCATCGGTTGGCTGGACCAGGTGGGCGCGGCAGGTTGTCCTGAAATGACCTAGGCAAAGCACATCGCTTCACAAGGTTGCGCGAACACCAGGAAGTTGCAGAGCATCGTGATGCTGACCACGCTCAACCGGTCGAGCATGCTGATAATTGTATGTTGAGTCCAAACCCAGTGGCTCAGACGGCGCATGTCTGGAGAAGCGCCCACAAATGACGTCAAGTCAGGCCCAAGACTACGTTCGCTAAGGCGAAAGAAATCGTCATTTCGGCTTTAACACTTCGTTCGTCAAGACGAGAGGAGCCGTCAAGTCGGCCCCGACACTTTGTTCGTCAAGATCGAGTTCGTTTTCAACCATCAGCTCGACCCCGACGCTTTGTTCGTCAAGACGGAGGGGCCGGTGAAAGGGGCCGTCAAGGGGGTTCGTGTCTTCGGAGGGAGGCCGTCACGGGGGCTCGTCACCTAAGAGGGAGGCCGTCAAGGGGGTGCGTCAAGGGGGTTGGTCAGCTTGGACCGAGGCCGTCAAGGGCGTTCGTCAATTCGGAGAGAGGCCGTCAAGGAGGCTCGTCAACTCGGAATGAAGCCGTCAAAGGGGTTCGTCAATTCGGAGTTGACGGCCAAGTGTTTTCACAAAGATGGAGTTGACGGCCAAAGCTTTTCATGATGGTGGAGTTGGCGGTTCAAGCGCCAGATAGAGTATACATGGTCATCCGTCGTGGCGTCCAGGCCCACCTCCAGACCTGCCGCCCGCGACAACCTCAAATTATATGCGTGTTTGGCAAACGATTTGGAAAAACTACTCCTGCGTGTTCAGAGGTCCAGTTGCCAGATGATGCACACTTGGCTTTCGCTGGCTTCCATCAGTGTGGGTGCAGTACGGTCTGCCAGGAGAAGTTTCTCTACGACGCCTCTGGGCCAAGTGAAGTTTCATCCTCGTGCATTGGAATCCGTCTCTGGCAACGCTTTGGCGACGCTCGCCACAATGTACACCACATGTGAGCGCCTGCTGCGCTAGCTTGCGCCTTGTGCGCCTGGTCAAACCGTCTGTCGGTCACAGGCGCATTGCTTCTTTAAACACTTTAATTCGCACTTGGGGCCGCATCAGGTGACCCGTATCTCAGCAGTGGGAGGCTGACAAAGTGCACCCAGCTTTCTGGGGCAGCAGATCCGCACTGTCTTCCTCCGATGCCGCCTTTGCTCACAATGTGGGGTGGAGGTGGCTGGGCTGGTGAGGGAGTTCTCGGTTTCGGTCCTCATCGACATGTACAAATGCTCCTCCTCCTCCTCCTCCTCCTCCTCCTCCTCCTCCTCCCTCCTCCTCACCACGGCCGCCCTCGAGATGACCCGGCCTGCTGCCCGCCGCGGGTTGGCGTCGTGGTGGGGTGGCGCCGCGGACTCGCGCGGCCTCCTGGGGCCCCGCCCCCTTCCTCTCCACAGCTACAATCGGCGAGTGGGGATGATCAGCTTTCCCAGGTCACCCTTGCATCCTCACCCTTCGGCCCATCCTTGGCGACCTTGGCTGGCCAGCCTCGCTCGAAAATGTGAACGGACCTTGCATATGTACCGCGTATCCTTCTTATGAGGGTGGCTTGTACGCATTAGGAGCAATAGCCGCAACGGATCTTGAATAAAGACCATTTCCAGAAGGAACACTATTGTTTCTGGGCGGGAGGAGAGGAACGAGGAGGGGGAGGCTGAATGTTGCCAGCCGAGAGCTTTGGTGGGGGGCAGGGGGGGCAGCATGAAAGACCCTGTGCGGTGACTCTCCTCCCTCCCCCGACTTTGTTCAGAAGATGTTCGGACCTCCCCGCGTGTACTGTTTTCTGTCACACGCAGGATGTCAAGCGTTGTTTTCCTTCTTCTTGTTGTTGTTGTTGTTGTAGGAGGAGGAGGAGGAGGAGGAGGAGGAGGAGGAGGGGGAGGAGGAGTGCTTTGCAGTTCGACTGTTTCTGGTGCTTCAGAAGGGGTGCTCTGGGTGCAGCGTGGGTATAATTCTCGGATCGGCGCTTTGCCCTCCTCAGTCACAATATAGCTCAGGAGGGGACAACAACTCATAGACACCATATTAATCGTCGGCTTTCAGAAAATATATGAGATTATGGGAAGTGGGGGGGAAGACAGACACCCAGAAAGTATGGGAAACTATATGGGAATATTTTTATTTGCGTGTATGAATTTGTGTGTCCCAGGGCCCCTTCAATAGCGTTCTCTGCCCCCCTTGCGCGGGCCCCTCTTCTGGATCCGAGTCCCTCTTCGGCGCCGTCGCCCCCTCGCCGTTCCGCTTCTCCGCCTTTCCCGGGTCCTCCTGCCCCTCCTCGCTCCTTCCATTCCAGCTCCTGCTGCTGAAGCTGCTGTTCGTCATTGCTCTCCTCCCTCCTCCTCCTCCTCCTCCTCCTCCTCCTCCTCCCTCCTCCTCCTCCTCCTCCTCCTCCTCCTCCTCCTCCTCCTCCTCCTCCTCCTCCTCCTCCTCCTCCTCTCCTCCTCCTCCTCCTCCTCCTCCTCCCTCCCCCTCCCCCTCCTCCCTCCTCATCCCTCCTCCTCCTCCTCTCCCCTCCTCCTCCCTCCTCACCTCGGTCCTCCTCCTCCTCCTCCTCCTTCCTCCTTCATCTCCCCTCCTCCTCTCCTCCTCCTCCTCCCCCTCCTCCTCCTCCTCCTCCTCCCTCCTCCCTCCTCCTCCTCCTCCTCCTCCTCCTCCTCCTCTAATGTGCGCAGCTGCTGTCCCCCCCGATTGCATAAAACACGATGATGTCATCTTTAGATGTCTAGGTCCGCTTTGGCACGCATCGGCGGAGAGAAACTACAGCGCATGGTAAGGGGTTCGTGGGATGGCTTGCTTCCCCTCTAACTCCCCTCCCCCATCCACAACCTCCTTCTCCTCCTCTTGCTCCCGCGGGAGGACGGGGCGAGGGAGATGGCAGGGAGGGAGGAAGGAGGAAGGAGGAGCAGGAAAGGAGGAGGAAGAGGAGAAGGGAGGAGGAAGAGGAGGAGGAGGAGGAGCTTGCCCCCCCTTTTCCCCCCCATTCCGTCTCCTTTTGCCCTATCCTGCCTCGGGCGCAGGGACAGCAGCTGCACAACTTCTTGGTCCTGAGGTGCGAGCTGCATGCCAAGGTCCAGGCGCCACCGGGGGCCAGCTCGCCCCACGCCCAGACGCCCACCAGAGGCACAAGTGTCGGCCGCCCCTGACATCTTCGCGCAGTGGCAGAAACATATGCTAACGGAGTTCCCCACATAAAAAATACTGACGGTTTCGTGGGACCCGTGGGGTACGACAACGTCAACGCGAAGGAGAAGCTCATCGAACGAGTAAGTACGCAAGAAAGGGCAGACGAAAGAAAGGAGGAGGGAGGACAGGTGCTCTGGAAACGAAGCCTTGTACATAGTGCGGTTTCTTGATGCCCTCCTCGCTCTCCGCGGCGGGGCCCCGCTGGAAGGGGGGAGGGGCACGAAACCATGTAAATAGCATGGGTGTCCGATACCCTCCTCGGTCAGGCGGGGCCTCCCTGGAGGGTGGGAGGGGCACGAAACTATGTAAATAGTATAGGTTTCCGATACCCTCCTCTCTCAGGCAGGGACTCCCTGGAGAGGTGGGAAGGGCACGAAACCATTCAAATAGTATGGGTTTCTGATACCCTCCTCGCTCAGGCGGGGCCTCCCTGGAGGGATGGTGGGAGGGGCACCAAACCATGTAAATAATATGGTTTTCCGATACCCTCCTCGCTCAGGCGGGGCCTCCCTTGAGGTGTGAGAGGTGAGTTAGTATTGGTTTCCGAGACCCTCCTCGCTCAGGCGGGGCCGCCCTGGAGGCGAAACCATGTAAATAGTATGGGTTTCTGATACCCTCCTCGCTCAGGCGGGGCCTCCCTGGAGGGATGGGAGGGGCACCAAACCATGTAAATAATATGGTTTTCCGATACCCTCCTCGCTCAGGCGGGGCCTCCCTGGAGGGGTGGGAGGAGAGTTAGTATTGGTTTCCGAGACCCTCCTCGCTCAGGCGGGGCCGCCTTGGAGGCGAAACCATGTAAATAGTACAGGTTTCCGATATCCTCCTCGCTGAGGCGGGGCCTCCCTGGAGGGGAGGGAGGGGCACGAAACCATGTAAATAGTATGGGTTTCCGATACCCTCCTCGCTCAGACGGGGCCTCCCTGGAGGGGTGGGAGGGGCACGAAAACATGTAAATAGTATGGGTTTCCGATACCCTCCTCGCTCAGGCGGGGCCTCCCTTGAGGTGTGGGAGGGGCACGAAACAATGTAAATAGTATGGGTTTTCGATACCCTCCTCGCTCAGGCGGGGCCTCCCTGGAAAAGTGGCTTTTGGCACGAAACCATGTAAATAGTATGGGTTTCCGATACCCTCCTCGCTCAGGCGGGGCCTCCCTGGAGAGTATGGTATGGTATGGTATGGTAAGGTGGGTATGGTATGGTATGGCATGGTAGGCATGGTACTGATATGGGAGGCGGGAGGCGGGAGGGAGAAGGAGAGGATGTTCTGGGAAAACAAGAACCCCACTCAGGATGTGGGGAAGTAAAGACGAACGGCGATGGGCAATCCTAGAAGCTTCGCGTAGCCCCGCCAGCCCATGCGGAACCGGTGCCCAGGCGAGTTGCCCCGATCAGGGACGTGGAGGCGCATGCAGTGGGACAAGAGGGCTGGGGAAGCCGTCGTACCCCGAGCGGGGGAGGTTAGAAGGAGGAGGAGGAGGAGGAGGAGGAGGAGGAGAAGGAGGAGGAGGAGGAGGAGGAGGAGAGTAGAGGAGGAGATGGAGGAGGATGAAGGAGGATGGAGGCGGAGGAGGAGGAGGGAGGAGGAGGAGGAGGAGGAGGAGGAGGAGGAGGAGGAGGGGAGGAGGAGGAGGACGAGGAGGAGGACGAGGAGGAGGACGGGGCGGAGGAGGCTGGGAGGAGGAGGAGGAGGAGGAGACGAGGAGGAGGAGGATGGAGGTAGGGAGGAGGAGGAGGCCGGAGGAGGAGGGAGGAGAGGCGGAGGAGGAGGAGAGTGAGAGGGAGGATGAGAGGGAGAGGGAGGTGATGAGGAAGAGGAGGCAGAGGAGAGAAGGAGAGGAGGAGGAGGAGAGGAAGAGGAGGAGAAGGATGAGGAGGAGGGAGGCGGAGGAGGAGGTGGAGGAGGAGGAGGAGGAGGAGGAGGGAGGAGGGAGGAGGGGAGAAGGAGGAGGAGGGAAGGACGGAGTAGGAGGAGGAGGAGGAGGAGGAGGAGGAGGAGGAGGAGGAGGAGCAGGAGGAGCAGGATGGCAGGAGGAGCAGGAGGAGCAGGAGGAGCAGAGGAGGTGCAGGAGCAGGAAACAAAGGGGGGGGGAAAGCGCTGGCCACGAAAATTTCTCGGTGCCCGGAGGCGGAGGAGGAGGAGGAGGAGGAGGATGGAAAGACGAGGGGGAGGAGGAGGAGGAGGAGGAGGAGGAGGAGGAGGAGGAGGAGGAGGAGGAGGAGAGGAGGAGGAGGAGGAGAGGAGGAGGAGGTGAGATGGAGGGAGAGAGGGAGAGGGAGGTCTGAGGAGAGAGGACAGAGGAGGCAGGAGAGGAGAGGAGGAGGAGGAGGAGGAGGAGGAGGAGGAGGAGGAGGAAGAAGAGGGAGGAGGGAAGGAGGAGGAGAGGAGGAGGAGGAAGAGGAGGAGAGGGAGGAGGAGGAGGAGGAGGAGGAGGAGGAGGAGGAGGAGGAGGAGGAGGGCGATCAGACAGGTCAGAGGCCTATAGGATGCCTCCCGGAGTCTCTTTGGACGCCTCGTGAGACTTGAGAGCTTCTTGGAGTCCTCTTGGGGCGTCTCGGGGGTCTCTTGGCGGTCCCGGGGCCTTCGGGAGCGTTTTGGGTACTTCCCGGGGAGCCTCTTGGGGGTCTCTTGGGAGCCCTTTGGAGGCATCTTGGGGGTTTCTTGGGACCTCCTGGCCGCCCCGCTTAGGTCCCTCTTGGGGCACTCTTGGGAGCCTCGGGGGCCAGCTTAGGGCTATCTTGGAGGAGTTCGATCAAAGAAGGGGGGACACTTACTTAACGCCCCCCCTCCCCCCAAGGCGGCCAAAATTGGCCCAAAATCTCAGGAACATCCGTGAGTGTGCCTTCTCGCTGAGGCCGTCTTGGACGCTCCAACGACCCGCGATCCCCCCACACTTCCAGGGGAGGGAGAAGGGGGAGAGGAAAACCCTTCCCCGAGAGGAGGTTAGAAGGGGGGTTGGAACGGGACACTCTCTAACGCACTCACGGCCCAAAGGGCTGGCGGGATCCTCGGCCTCCAGGGGCCTGGCCTGGCCCCGGGGGTGTCAAACAGCGACTGCGAGTGCAAATGTGGTACCCGGGAAGGGGTTCAGACTTTTTCGGGGGAGCCACGTTGTGAAGCACAGCACCGTCGCAACTTTCGAAGGTTGGCGGCGGGTTCAGCGGAGCGAGGCACCAGGCAGATCTGAGCGAGACATCGCAACCCTTGGGGGGCTGCGAGCCTCACGAATGCCGCTCGCAGAAGTATATGCGCCCATGTCACGTCATCACCTCCGTACAACGCCTCCCAAGCTACTCATGCCCCGCATTGCGCAGGGGATGGGTACGTTGCCAGGGTAATTTTCCTTATCGCTTATGTGCATCTCGAAAGCTTTGCTCGCCAACTAAATCTCCAGCTCTCTGCCACTGCTCCCATGTGTGAGCACCTTCTCGTCGTAGGGCTATGATCTCGCGAATGTCCTCCTCTAAAAACGGGGTGCCCAGCTGGTTCGCTGCCTTCCCTCTTCCAAGAGTATTCTCTGCTGCTTTCACCATAATTTCTGAGGCCCTCGTCCAGGTCATATTTGTCTCTGCAACTTCCCTTTCCATCTCCCCGTCCTCTGTGCATAAGTTCTCTTCCAAGTGTAGGTCTCGAATTGGCCGTGCTAATGTTGCCTCCGCGGACTCCTCTACTATCTCTGGCTCCCCTTCGTGCTGCAAGGTCCTGCAAGTCCTCCTCGTCCTGTAGGTCCTCGAACGGGTTGCCGTAGCCCGCACATGCTGTCGGCGGTGGGGGACCAGGAGGTGCGCGAACCTGGAGCTCGGCATCGGCATCCGGCGCACCCTGTCCGGACACACGCGGCGGCTGCGGGCGGCCCGTGGGCCGCGATCCGACGGGCGCCGCGAGCCCAGCCCCTCGCGCACGGCACCCAGACCCGCGGGCCCTCTCCGATACCATTGGCTGCCCGTGCGCGGGTGCCGGGGCTTGCGCTCTACTTTGCGTCCTAACGCCTGGGTGCGCCTGTGCCTCCTCGAAGAGTGCATCCCATGACTTCAGTTCTCGCTTGGCTCCAGCCTCCGCATTGACGTCAGCTCGGTCACTGCCCGCATCTCCAGAATGGCCTTTGACGTATACCATACAAAGCTGACTTTCCTGAAAGAGGCTCGACCCGTCGCTATCAACTTCTGGTTCAATTTCCTGCCAGCATGTTAGCAGCCTATTGTGAGTCGTGGTGTAATTTGATCATATCCTCTGCCGTCGTATTGTCAAGTACCCGCCAGCACGCCATAATCATAGCCGATAACTCACCTGTGTTGTTTGTCAGGTGTTCAGCTCCCAAGACAAAAGACTGTACTTCTTTGTCTCGCATAGTAACCACTGGACCGAAGAGGCCCGTCCACTCTTTTGGTTCTGCTGCAATTTTTCCAAATCCCCCATCCCGCTGAGTCTTTGGTCTCCGATCCACCCGTAAAGAATTGATAGTGGTTGGTATTCTCACTCGGTACAACTTTGAATGGGCGCTTTCTCTCCGTCGGGGACCAGTTGGGTTCCGATGCTAGTAACTCTATCACTCGTTCTCGGTACTGCTCTCTCATCTCCTCTGCTTGTGCCGATGGGGCTTTGAATTTGTGGATAGCTAACGGCGGGGTGATCGCTCTCTCTCTCTCTCTCTCTCGCTTCTCGCTGTCTTTGAATGTAAAAGTGCCGTCTGGCTGGACGTTTAGTTTTGTTGCTCGCTTTTGGTGGCATTTCCAGTTCTAAGTGTTTTGGTAAATGATCCGGTATGCCCCATGCATGTAAAGATATCCCCAACACTTGTTTGTGCAATTCCTTATCCATAACACATTTGTCCAGTTCATACCATTGCCCATTTCTGTGTTTCCATGTTCCCCTCGACGTGAGATTGAACACAGAGTCGGTACATACATAGTTGGTACTCGTTAGCCACTTCAGGAATGCTTTTTCCCCCATCCATAGTACTCCGTTTCATGATATGCTCCCCAAGTTGTAGGTCGTTCGAGATTGTGTCCCTCCCCACATGGCCGTCCCAGTCACCTCCCACAATCGTTGGTCCTCGATAGTTCTCTTGACACCGATGATTCACATCCGATATTCCATCATATATCTGATTTCGATATCCAGCAGTTTCCCCTGTGGGGATATAAGTACTTACCATCCAAACAAAGTAAGCACCCTCCAGTAACATAGGGATGGCAACACATCTCTCTCATTCCATACAACCGTTAAAGTGTCATCTTTCTCCAATAACTTGGATGCCTCCCTCCATGCCATCATCGCTGCCGTCGTAATGCTGAACCCGCAATCTGCAATCATGATTAAAGCGAACCCTTCCACCTTCACGATCGTCGGGACGCCTCTCAAGTACGTTCCATTGTGGAGCTCGGACGAGAAGCTGACATCAACTTTGCGACTCCGCTGCTGTTCGAAAAATATCTGGAGCTTGTCTCTGTTGTCGAAGCGAGACCAGTCCAGTCCACCAGCATTTGTGGTGGCAAACTTCACGCGCTGACCCAAGGGTCGACGTGATACGCGATGCATATGCCGAATTCTGAATTGTCGCCGTCCCGCTCTCACCGACGTCGTGGACATCGTTGTGATAACAGGCTGCCGATTCTTTGTACTTGCATCCTTCTCTACGGTGTCATAATGCCCAAGCCTGGGCTGCGTCTCCTCCCTGCCACCGCGATACAGGAAAGAGAGATTTTTTATCTTCGATACCGAAGTCATCGTCATAATTGTCGGAGGGATTTAGTCAGCTCTTCGTCGTACAAAATGAACGTCAGAAATTGCTGCTTCTCGCCCGCCCCGTGGGAGGCCCCCTCCGCAGACGAGTATTATGCCTTGGCTGTTTTGGGCGCTCGTTTCGAACAGGTGGAGTCTCTCCCCCATGGGACGCCGCCCCGGTGCAGACAGTCGCATTGAGCAGAGGTCGGGAGCCAGACCCCCCCCCCTTCTGCCCAATGTCGAAACGCCGACTAAGAAAACGTTCCTTTTCCTTCGTGGCGACCCCGAGAACAAAACGCGTCCCGTCGGACCGTCGGACCTCTCCAGGGGCGCGTGCGGGCCATCCACCTCGGGAGGGGGAGTCCGCCGTGGCGACGACGGGCCTTCGGATGCCACGACGCGCAGGAACGCAGCACGTCGAATTTCGGAGCTCGTGCCCTGACCCTCGAAGTCCGGGCCTCCCAGCTAGGGTCCGAGCAGACGGGGTCGAAGGACCGCTCCGCATCGCCGATGCATCGGCGACGCGGAGCGATGTGGGCCCGATTTGCTTCCACGTCGACGTCGCCGATGAATCGCCGACGTCGACTATGCATCGCCGCTGCATCGCCAACACACCGCCGATGCACCGCCGAGGTATCGGCGAAGCGGCGCGATCCTCCCACCCCATGTACTCTGACCCACTCTGGGAGGCCTCTGCGAACCTCCATGGCGAGACCGTGACGGCCGCCGCCCGCAGGTGTCGCCGGAGGAGAACCAGAGGCTCCCCGAGGACGCCGTGGGCCCGGGTGCGCACGCGGGCCGTTGACCGGAGCTTCGATCGGCTGCGGCTGCGATGACATACAGCCAACCTGCACAGTAAGGAGGAGCGGCGTTGCCAAGGTTCCCCTTGCCCCTTCGGCCCCTCCGTGGCCGCGTTCGCTGGCCGCGCCCCGCCCGCAAAGGGTCGGCATGGCCTCCTTCTCCTCCTCCTCCTCCTCCTCCTCCTCCTCCTCCTCCTCCTCCTCCTCCTCCTCTGGCAACCTTCTCGTGAGCCCTCGTTGTGCGGGTTGCCTGTCTGAGCTGTCGGATGTCGGCCCGTTGGGGGAGATGGGGGGGGCGACGCCGACGTCGGCCCGATCGGGGGCCCCCCCAGAGGGGCCCTACAAGCCCTCGTGCTCCGCGCCCCTTCGCCCCAGCGCGCGGCGCCGATGCCGAGAGCGCGCCACGGGGCGGCGCCGGAGGCGGCGCCAGGGGGGGAGGACCCCAGCGCGGATCCGAGGAAGCTGCGCGGAGCGCCAAAAGTGTATGTGAATGGCGTTTTTTCTCCTTCTAGTCGGGGGAACGTAAGACTCGGGTAAGCCGGAACTCGGGTTTGCCGACGTTTTTTGACGAGCGCGTCCTGGATTTGGACGGTCCAGTTTTCGTGGGATGTTTGCAGCGGGAGTTCGCGTCAAATTTCTGATTGGGTCTCGTCGTTTTTATGATGGCCCTGTCAGGCCAACCCGAGTCCCCCGTACCCGAGTCTTACGTCTCCCCGATCTAGCTCCGCGTGTTTGCCGTGGCTTGGATCCTGCAGAGGTGTCTTGCCTCGGCGTCGAGCGAGGGGGGGGGATGAGAAGGAGAGGGCCTGCTCAGGAGTTGGCGGGCCTCCTCAAAAGCAGTCTGGCCTCCTCAGAGGTTTTCGCGGTGTGTTCGGGCAGGGCCCAGGGAACTTCTCAGAGGGCCTGGGGGACCTCCGAGCCTTCTGAGGATGTCCGCCCCCTCTCGCTTTCCCCACCCCCCCTCCAGGCTCGCCGCTGCTTGTCGGCAAGCTCGAGGGCTGGGACACGCGGGCCTGCCGCGGCACCCTCCAAGACGCTGGTCTTGGCTCCCCTGGGCAGGGCTGCCCGCGGTCCAGTTCGATGCGGCGCGAGCCCCCCCAGCTTTCGATTCCGGCCGTCGAGAAAACACGAACCGTAAGCTGAAGTCGGGCGTGTCCCTCTACGGGAGGAGTATCCAAAAACAGTCGAACAATAGTACGGGGATGATTTTTTGTTTTTAAATATGTTTTGTTATTTTTGATCCTGTTTGGGGTATTGATTATTGTTCGTCCAAGATCCGCCTGTAGGGGGACATGCCCGAACTAACCCTAAGCCCTGATGACGATATGAAGACGCAGCCAGACTGAGGTCCCCGTGACTGCATTCGGGATATTCATTCTGGGCGGTTTGGTTTGAAGCATCTGCAGAAAAGACCCCCCCTCGTATCCTTTATGACATCGGGCTTCTCAACTCAGGTCCGCTCCTAACGGGTTGGGGGTAGTTTTGCTGCTCATCATCCGATCTCGACTCCGAGCCGGCGCGAGCCGACTGCCCCTCTAGCCTGCAGAGGCCGAGGCCGATCCGCGACCCCAGGCGCTCCCACCACGATCCGACTCCGCGCCGATTCGGGCGCGGAGTCGGATCCGTTTGCGATACGGTCCGACAAGCCTCGGGAGAAATCATCGAATACTCGTGCCACATTCATCTGTCAATGCCCCCTCCTCCCCCCCTGCTGGCGGTGGGTTGAGTGAGTTGCACTTCGGCCGCAGTCTCCCCTGCGCGTGCCAACTTTGAATTATCGGGAGAGGGGGAGTGTCCACAGATTGTTTCTCGCTGCCGGATGTCGCAATTCCATTCAGCTCAGGCTTGCCAGTCCCTGACGTCGCGATGTGGTTCCCAACGTGGCCCCTGTCGGCCTCACCCTCTTCCCCCTGACCAACTATCCATCCCGAGGGTACTTCGGAGATCTTAGCTATCCTGACACGCCCTTGTTCAAGCGTGCCGCGTACCGTTTTCAAAGCGCCACGTTTGAACATGCTGCGTATTGGTTCGGCACGTGTTGGACCATGTGTTGACGAACGTGTCGCGCCAGACCTACGTTTTCAATCTCAGTGTTGAGATCCCTGCCAACGCGGTACTGGCTGCGTGTTGCGTATCGGGGCAGCTAAGTCGGGGATGAAGATCCAGGAGGCTATCCAGACGCACCACCATCGAGGAGGGACGCCGCCCAATTGTACATCTCCGAATTTGGCCCCGAGTTGACAGCCCGGTCGAACCCCTCCCAACGTCGGGGATCGGGGTCGCCATACCTCCGCTTACGGTCGAGAACATCTGCTCAGCGGGCCGCGCCGCCGATTTTGGCCCACCACGCTTCGGCGCGACACGCTAACCGCGTGCCCGTCCCCGCGCGTGAAATTTGAGGTTTTCCCAGCGTCCCGTCCCGCGGAGCGGAGCCAGACACCATCCGCGTGCAGGGCATGATGTGTCGCTGGGGCCGCCGCCGCGGCGCGCTCAGAAAAGCTCCCCGACCGTGAGGACTTGCGGTGCGAGGAGGAGCAGCCCCAGTACCAGCTCTTGGGCAAGCTGCTCAAGCACCTGTCCGGGAAGGTGGCGCCGCCGTTTTGCCCCCCCCCCCCCCCCCTTTCGGGGGATGGGCTCGGAGGAGCAGTGGTGTTGGGGGGAGCGGATGGAGTGCGGTGATGGGGGTAAGCCTGAACGGTGTTCTGGCGGTCTCGCGGGCCGTTTCGTTTCGATTTCGACCTCGTGTTGCAGCAGGGGCGGGTGAAAACCAAAGAGGGGGAACACGAAAGGAGCACGGAAACCAAACACATGTTTCAGGGCGATCCCTGGAGTACGGTGATGGGGAGAAGGTGGAGGAGGTGGAGTGGTAGACGAGGAGGAGGAGGAGGAGGGGGAAGAAGAGGAGTCAATAGACCTGTCTAAAGTCCCCTTTTCCACACGCCCGTACTGGTCTTTTTCACTACAACATGCGCCCCCCTTGAAAGAGCAACCAACACGGTTGGGCCTTTTATTTTGACGATGTCCCCGTTGTGAACGCGATTCGCCTCGTGCCTCATTGGCGCGGCATCAGGAGCGCGCCGCTCCACCCTGCAACTGTTGCACCCCATGCGCGCTTACGGTCCTGCGCTTAGAGGGAGTCTCAAGCGGCAGCGTCCTTTTGAAGAATGGCCGCCGTGGATCCGCGCAGCATTGCGAGCCATGAAACTCCTGGTGCTTAAACTTTTGAGAGTTCGAGAGCCCAGGCGTACTAAACTTTTGAGAGTTCCACTTTTGGTGAGTTCAATTTTAGAGCTCGAGCTTGAGAGTTCAACTTTTGGTGCCGAAGCTCCCGGGAGCTCTCGGGCGAGAGCTTACTCTTGAGACTCCGAGAGCCCCCACTGTGAGAAAAGGGTAGGGCCCCCATCCGTGAAGCTGGTGCGAAGGGTTCGGAGACATCCGGCGCGGCGCGGGGCGGGAACGCCATCGTGAAAACCACATTCGCAGGCCCAGAGGTTGACACCAGCACCAAGATCGGCGGTATGCCTGCACCGAGGGAAGACGATCCCCATCTCGGCGATGGTGGTAATATTCTGGCTTCCAAGGTGGCCGAAATGTTACCACCAACACCGAAATCTAGGATCATCGTCCCCCTGTGGAGGCAACCCCCTGCGTTGGTGTTGGTGCCAATTTCCAGGCCTCCAACACACCCTTTCCATCCCTGAGGTTGCTGCACCCAGCGGTCGGTGAAAGTAGGTATGCCTGCACTCCCAGATCTCAATCTGCTTGGAGCGCCTTCCTACTCCAAGAATCGATCCTCTCTTGCTGCGTTGAGTACTCTCTGGGCGGGCCCAGACCCAATCTACTTTATCCGCCTTCCTACTTCATGTTTCTGCCTACTTCTTCCGACCGATGGTTACATGTGTAAGACGAGGTCTTGCGGCGCTGAGACGGGAGCAACATTTTGAGCGCGCCCCCTTCCGTTGGTGAAGGTGTTGCAGGTGTGTAAGGCGAGTGCGCGCGGCGTTCCGGCGAGCGCCACACGCTGAAGACCACCCACCCATTCCATCTTTGAATGTGTTGCAAATTGTCAAGGCGAATGTGCTCTGCACCACAGCGAGAACCACAGTTTGAAAACGATCCCCCTCAATCCGTGAAACAATTGCAGATGTACAAGGCGAATGTCCGCGGAACCAAGTGGAGAGCCACCTGTTTAAAGGAGCCGCCCTCCACACGCAACGCGCTGGTAAACTTTCAAGACGGTTGTGTGCGGCGCCAAAGCGAGAGCCACGTTTTCCCACACACACGCACACACACACACACACACACACACACACGTGGCATTGTTGAACATTTGAACGGCAATGCACGCGGCGCAGAGGAAACGGGGGCTGGGGTGTCGCACCTCCTCCGCTTCCTCCTCGTCCTCCTCCGCTTCCTCATCCTCCTCCTTTTCTTCTTCTTCTTCCTCCTCCTCCCCCTCTTCCTCCTCCTCCTGCTCCCCCCCCCCGCTTCCTCCTCCTCTTCCCTGAGGGGGAGGGCGGAGGATGCGGGCCAGGTCGGGGAGCGGGTCGAATGGGCGAAGGGGAGGGAGCATGATGATGAGTGGGACTGGAATGATCAGGAATAGGAGGCAGATGATGAGGAGGACAAATCGGAGTTGGAGATCATGATGAAGCAAAGACTGCCCTGGGACAGCACCAGGACTCACCCAATCAGACCATCGCCCCTTCAAAATTGCCCCCATCAGCCTTCCGACCAGGAGCCCAAGAAAACCCAGGAGGGCCCCGAACAAAAACCCGGGAGGATGATGAGTGAGACTAGAATTATGTCGGGCTTGCCCCCCTACAGCGAGATTTTCGACGAAACATGAAAAATACACCAAAAGTAGTCCAACAATGCTCCAAAAAATAGTCTGGGGACTATGTTTTGAGTATTGTTTGACCTTTCTGGGGTATTTTTGGGGTCTTTACTAACTTTTTCGTCGAAAATCCCCCTGTAGGGGGACAGGCCCGACTTAAGACTAGAATGATCAGGAATAGGAGGCAGATGATGAGGAGGACAAATCGGAGTTGGAGATCATGATGAAGGGGCGGATGAGGAGCAGCGTTTGCTTCGACAGGGTAAGGCGGTGCAGGATGCAGAGATGGAGGACGATAGCGAGGATGTGAGTGGCGAGGAGGACGAACACGATGAAAAGTGTGAGAAGGGCGAATATAAGGGAGAGGCGAGTTTACGGGGCCGTTGATCGTCGTTGGTGCTCTTACGACCGAAAACTCACTTTCGCGAACAGCATTCCGAAGACGCCTACGGCAAACCACCACCGCCCCCGCATTCTGGAAGCGCATGTGTTATGACATGTCGAGCAAAGGGGCGACCATGCCCGTAGACCGCGTGTTCCCCACAACGTTTCGGCAACCCGCCGGGGGGAACACTAGGGAGGTGCCCTCCTGGGTTATCTTGGGGCTTTCTTGACATCTTTCCTCTGGGGCCATGTGGGCCTTCTCGATGGCCTCGTTGCGCTCTGCTGGGTCACCCGGGGGCGCTTCGGGGCTATTTAAAGGCGCTCGCGGGCCTTTTGGCGCCTTCAGAGACCGCCTCTTGAGGGTTCAGACGACACCGACGACGACGACGACTACGACGACGACGACGACGGCGGCGGCGACGATGACGACGCCGACGTCGACGACGTCGACGACGACGACGACGACGACGACGACGTTGCGTGCGTTTATTGGAAGGCCGTTTGGGGAATGCTGGGGTCGGTGTGGGCGCGTGCTCTTCCCGGAGGCCCATGCGACTGACGCTGGGAGCGCCCGCCGCCGCGTCGGAATTCCGGCGGAGGGATGGTCTAGGCCATTCTGCAGGAGTCTTGGCGCACTCCGCTCAGGAGGAGCAGGAGGAGCAGGGGGAGTAGGAGGAGCAGGAGGAGCAGGAGGAGCAGGAGGAGCAGGAGGGGAGGAGGAGGAGGAGGAGGAGGAGGAGGAGGAGGAGGAGGAGGAGGAGGAGGAGGAAGAGGTCACACACGTGCCCACGCCCAGTAACTTTAGCGCTCGTTGCCGTCAGGTTTTTGTTTCGTGTCAGAAGGGAGCCGCCTGCCAGCGGTCGCTGAAAAGAGGACACTGCGAGACCCGAGGGCCCACAACTCTTCGAGCCCAGACAGAGCTCCAGAGTTTGATTTGCCCGTGCTGTGCTCAATTCCTGTTCATCTGTCGACGATTTCTCCAGCCATCTTGTTGGACACCTGCCCTGGACACTCGCACCTTTCGTCCCGCGTGAGCGGGGACCGCATGTCCGAATCCAAGACGGACACGCCAGGGTGGTACAGCTCGACCAAGAAACGCGCCGCGTCTGGCCAGGCCGACCCCGACAAAGACAAGGTGCCGAAGAAGGGGAGCCAGGCCAAGGGCAAGGACAAAGACGAAGGCCAGCTCGTCAACCAGATGGCGCGCTTCGTTTTCAGCAACGCCCGCGAGATCGCGGACCTCACGGCGGTGACCCACGCCCGTTCCCGCGC